CTCTCTTTTTCTTGATCAATCTAGCTAGATAGATCATAGAGAAAAAAATCAATAAGGAGATCCAGAACCTCAACTTGATGCTTGACCAAATGGTCTTAATAGAGACCTACAGAACACTCCACTCAACAACCATGGAATATACATTCTATTCATCACTGCATGGAACATGCTCCAAGATTGACCACACCTTGCACCATAAATCAAGTATAAACAAATTCCATAAGATCAAAATAATACCATGCATCTTTTTGGGTCACAATGGAATAAAAATAAATATCGCCAACAACAAGTTCCCCCTAAGTCACACAAAGGCATGGACACTAAACAGCATGATGCTGAACAACTCCTGGGTCTACACAGAAATCAAAACAAAAATTAAAAGATCATTGGAAACAAACGAAAACAAAGGCACATCTTACCAAAACCTCTGGGATGCCTTGAAATCAGTACTGAGAAGATAATTTATAACTCTATGCACACAAGTTAACAGTCTAACAAATCACCTAAGAGAGCTGGAAAAGTAAGGCCACCAAAACTCTAATTTTAAAGACAAATTCAGATCACCAAAGTAAAAGGCCAAATACGAGACATAGAAGACAAACATATTTTTAAAATCAACGAAACAAAAAGCTGGTTCTTTTAAAGGATGAACAAGTAAAAGCTTTAAATGGAGTGGAGAAACAAGGTCAGGTATGGTGGCTCATGCTTGTGATACCAGGACTTTGAGAGGTTGAAGTGAGGGGATTGCCTGACCTAGGGGTTCGAGACCAGCCTGGGCAACTTGGTAAGACCACATCTCTACAACAAATAAAGAGAGTTACCTGGGTATGGTTGTGCACGTCTGTGGTTCCAACTACTTGGGATGCTGAGGCAAAAGGATTCCCTAGCCCAGCAGGTGTAGGATGTAGTGATCATTAGCAACCTCTGCACTCCAGTCTGGGTGACATGGTGAGACTCCAAAAAAAAAAAGAGTGGAGAAGCAAGAATATATTCTAGAAAGCAAGTGTCTTCTATTATCTGCCTTTAGAGGGGATCCCAACTCTGTGCCCTGGGATGAGCTATGTGAGCAGAGAACTAGTGGATCTGAAAGGTAACCTGGCTATTTAAAGCTCTAAACCAAACTCCTGTGATTATACCCAGAAACAGATGACTGGCTAGCTCTCTGTCTAGCTGCTTCTTTGCAGACAAAAGTAACTACAAAACTCAGAAGAAATGTGTTTTAGGATCAGTAGCTGATAGTCATGGGTAAGCTAAAAAAAAATTTTAAAAGACTTTCAAATGTAGTTAGTCCTAAACAAAATCCTAAGCAGGAATCACTGTTTGCAATATGGGCAGAGATTCATGCCTCATTGCCCTAGAGAATACGCTGATTATTTTCCCCACCTTCAAACAAGTTCCCTTCTTGATTTTCTCATTTATCTTAGTGACAGCGAGATAATACAATGGTTAAGAGTTTAAACACAAAAATTAAACAATCTGGGTTAGAATTTTACCTTGGGTAAGTTATCTAACCTCTTGGAAATTCAATTTTCTTCCAATGAAATGGAATATAAAATAATACTTCATGCCTCACAGGGTTGTGATAAAAATTAAACGACAAAATTAATTTAAAGAGCTAAGCACAGAAAACTGGCATTTGGTGTGTTTAACAAATATTTAATATTGTTGTCAACAACTATCATTTTACCAATCTGGGATTCCCAGGTATTCGAAACAAAATTATATTTTCTATTGGTTCTTCTTCATATGATTTATTCCAGCACCAAGCCTTGTAAAGTATGGCTCCTAAACCCCCTTGGAAATTCTCCGTCTATTTTTAGTATATCAATCATCAATTTAGTCCACCATGAGCCACCTGAAATAGAGAAGAGTGCCCCCTAACGGGTTTTTTAATTCATTTGCTGTCCTATTAATCTTCCTAAATAGAGTACTAAATATGAAGCCATTGCAGATGAGCTAGGAATTTAAACATTTCTAGTAGTTTTAGTTGTGGGTGGAACTACTTTGCTGGTTTGTAGAATTGCTGCATCCTACCCCAAAGCATACGACCATTGTTCCCACTACAAAAACTGCAGAATTCATGAAAAGTATGTCGTTGTCATTGGTGTAGTAATTGTGTCTTCTATAAGGACCAAGTTGTATCTGCATTGCTTAACACTACGTTCCCTTGCTCATCACAGCACAAGACACATAGTATTTCAAAGAGAGTTGACATCGCTGCTTAGCATCCAATTGCATGCTATGTTCCATTCTACTTAAGTTGTGATAATTTAGTCATCATCTGGCACATGATAACAGGGAAATTATTTATATACTTGTATGGGGTGCATTCAGACATGATTAACAATGTGAGCTAGAATTGCATGGCAGCCAGATTCCCAGTTTCCAAGAAGACAGTGAAAGAAATTGACTCTAAGAAATAAAAAGTTGTTGCTGGGAAGAAGAGAATATAAGAAAGAGCTTACCCAATGAGAACCATTTATTAAGTAGATGGAAATATGTTCACTACTAGTTTCAACCCAATGAACAAGCAGCAGCTTATATTTTGAAATTCAGAAAACTCACAGGATCTATTTGCCCTTCCTGAAGTGAATACTAACAATGAGTGTTGTTGCTATTCCATGATGCTAACACAAGTATATATACACAGATAGAGTGTGTGTGTGTGTGTGTGTGTACATGTGTGTGTACGTGTGTGTATGTATTATATATACATATGGAGAGAGAGAGAGAAAGAGAGAGAGAGAGAGAGAAACAGCAGTATCTGAGTATCTGCAAACGTGAGATTATACCTGCATCACATATGCCCGAGAGTAACAAAGACTTTTAGAGAAGTATTGCTAAAAGGGGATGTGGTATTGACAAATAAGAGATGGCCAAATTCTTCAAAATTCATAAGATGTCAGATGTCAATTTAAGTGGCTATTCTTAGAAGTCTGACTTTTTTCCACGTAGATCTATATTCAGATACTGTGGGATCTTAAGCAACTCTAAACACTAAAGAATAGTTGAAGGGTAATTTAAAAAATAGATAATTCCTATAAGCTTGAAACATGAGTACGCTCAGAACAAAATAAGAGTCCCAGTTTAAGCAAGCATTTCACTTTCTTAGCCTTTTCATAATAATTGACAGGTGTTTTCTCTTGCATTATTCCACATGATCCTCACAAGAACAGGACACCAAAAAGTAAATTGAGACCTGAGGATATGAGGTAACTTGCTCAATGTTACATACCAGCACTTGACCATAGACTTCTTTGATTGTTTATCAGAGTTTGATGTAGTTGTCTAAAAAATGGACAGTTTCTGCTCCTCTTGTCTGACCACATTTCAGGGAAGACACTAAGATAATATATTACTATCCCACCTATTACCTTGCACATGGTAGGTCAATGTAGAGGAGAAACCATTTGCTCAGCCATCTGCGTGATGTGGATCACAGGTCCCACTAGACAGATCCCAGTGGAGTTGTCACAAAGGTGATGGCAAATATAAGGTAACTGTAAAGAGAAACCTAGGAAGTTGAGATTTTCTCAGCGTGCACTAAAAGTTGCCTGATAAATATTAAATTATAATGGACAGACTTGAGCGAGAATAAGTGTACAAACATAAAATGCTAATATTTCTAAACAAACTCAAACATCCTGCTTTATAAGTTTCTAGCCCTATGTAAGGCACAGGCTCCCCACTGTTCCCTTCAGTCCACCTTCCCATCTGTGGCCTATGCGAGAATATGAAAGCTGTCCTCACAAAGCTCCTACAGTGGAGACAGACGATGGGCTTCAGAGTCAAGGAAACCTCAGTGGGAAAAACTCCAAGCTGTGATTTCTTGGATGGGAGGGATAGTGGCTAACATATTCAAGTCCCATTAGTTAAGTAGATGGAGAGATGGCAAATTCTCTATAAAAAGCTGTTTTGCACATTTGTATACCTAACCCTTAACTGTACCCCACAATTTTATAATAAAAAATATGTTTCAAAAAAAGTTGTTTTGCTTTGTTTTGTTTGCTCTGGTTATTGTATTTGTAAGTGTTATTGTCTTCCCACAACAGACTGTTTACTCCTGTCTTCTGCAGGAGAACTATCAATAAACTCTGTACCATTATTACCCTAGTCACCAAACTCCAAAGCCTGAATTTTGCTTGGGAAGGTTCTCTATCACTATCACTAAACTGAAAGAGCCAACAGAGAAGAAATAGCTTGATTATACTGGCTGCACACGTAAATGTTCCAATAATCATTTCTAACTTAGCCCCTTTGAGGCTATTGTTTGGGTAATTTTTTTTTTTCCTCCCACTAGATCTGTATTTACATCTGGCTAAATTTTGTATCCTCCACTACTCCCAACTCCACCTCCTTAAACACACAGATGCACACACAACTTTTTTTTCCTCCCCCTTGCAGGTTTCACAGCTGTTAGCTGAAGAGAAACAGGCTCTGGGCTAAGACTTTACTCTGATTTCTCTGATATGGGAGAGTAAAACGATCTAGATTGTTTCAGAGATTTATTATAACCTTTCCACCCTTCTCTGTGTCTTATCATGTCCAGTCTGCAAAATGGGGAGTCCAGGAGGCAGGAGCCTCATCTTTTTGATCTAACATTGCCTTACGTTGGGAAATTAAAATGACAGAACAAACGCAAGAAAGAAAAAACGATTTATTGAGAAAATGAGCCAAGTCACTATAAACAGGCTTCTGGGCGTTCTTTAAACCGAAGATGTTGTTATAAAAGTGCAGAACTGCGGTGGAACTGTGTTTTGGGGGCTTGGGTGCAGAGCTAAGGAAGTTTAAGTTGGTGCAAAGTTACAGTCCTGGGTCCTGTGGGGGGCCCAGGCCCAAGTTTGGGAAAACAGAGTCAGAGTCAGAAGCTACTGTGGCCTGGACAGAGGCAGAATGACATGCATGACACAGCAGGCTTTCTTCCTGTGTTGCTCTTATCTGAAGACTCAGAGAGTGGGTGGGAAAACGCCGGGGGGCGGGGGGGGCAGGTGAGGCACGTCCATTTCCCCTGCTTTTCCCCCATTGGCAATTCCCCCACTTTATGCTTTTCTTCAACCCCCTCCTGCTCCTCCCTTGGCACCTCCCTAGGCCCGCCCACAGTCTCCCACCCAGTTTCGGGCTGCGTCATAAGTATCCCCAGACGGGCTTGCAGCAGCTTTACGCAGACTGGGGAGAAAGTAGGTACTGTCTGGCGTAGCGCGATCTCCCCCTCCTCTTCCAACCTGCAGCCCAGGACGTTGATTCGAGCCGCGCCTTACCGCGCAGCCCGAAGATTCACCATGGTGAAAATTGCCTTCAATACCCCTACCGCCGTGCAGAAGGAGGAGGCGCGGCAAGACGTAGAGGCCCTTGTGAGCCACACAGTCCGAGCTCAAATCCTGACCGGCAAGGTAGCTGTCCCTACTCCTCCCCTGACTGCATGCTAGGGGCGGGAAGGAGGGTGGACTAGGGGGAGAGAAGGAAAGAGGTCCTGTGGCAAAGGAAAAAATAAAGGCTACCCGGGCGGACACCTCTATGCTGTCCGTCGGGTTTACCCAGTCGCCCTGGTTCTGTCTCCTCACGCCACCTGCCTGCCATGCCACATGCCCTTCTGCATCCCCGCGTGTCGCGTGCGCCGTAGTCCGTCGGTTCTGGCCCATGCCAACTATCCTGGCAGAAGTTGGAGGGAGTTTGAAAAGATTCTTTGGTATCCGACGTTCTCTTTTCCTGGGGATTGTGAAAGAAGCTGGGGATCAACCAGGGCATGCTGTCCAGTCCCCAGTTCTACGAACGCTTAAAGCCTCCGCAGGGGTGGAGCAGACACAAGGGTTGAGCAAGGGCAGGAGATTGAACTCTTCTTTTTTTCCTTCTTGAAGTGAATGAAGTTCTATGAATCTAAGTCTTTCTAGGATCACTGAGTGTTTATGAAGATGGGGTGAGGGGCAAGCTGTATGGGTTGGAACAAGTATCTGCCTGTGCATATGAGTATTTCCAATTTCTCACTGGTCGTAGGTGTCATTAAGCATTAGGCAAAGGAGCTGTCAAAATTGAGGTTGGTCTTAACTCCAGTTTCCAGTATTCACTGTGCCCTCTTACTGCAAGAGTCTTGTATGTTTTTGGAATGGCATTTCCTAAAGAAAACACTCTTCTTCCGTAAAAATAAAATCGGGCATACTTGTTTCTTTTTCTTTTTCTTTTTAAGCAATATACTCCCCCTCCCTCTTATAGAGAACTGAAGCAGACCCAACGTTATAATTTAAACTATGAGCTTTGCCAGGAACTTGGGAAACCTACCCCCAATATACGAACCATTATTTATTTAGTCCAATTTCTATTTCCTTTAAGCACTTACCAAGTTTTCAGTGTTTGTACGCTACTCATTTTCCTCAGTAAAATCTCAATTTTAAAAAGCAATAGTATTTTCTTCTTGTTCTATGAAATGTGCAAAGTGTTAAAGGTTGAAGATTTGTTCTAACTTATCTTGTAATTTATATAAAGTTTTAACTTTTGTGTTCAAGAGTGGATGTTTAAAAAGTCCTTTGAGTTAAATGAGAATCCATGTAGTAAAAAACTTGATTATGCATACAATTTGAAATGCTAATGTGCTTATGCAAAATTTTTATTAAGGAAAGTTTCAATTGATATTTGTCTGCAAACTGGCTTTTGTGTATTATACATTTTAGAACTCAAAAGTAAAACCCCCTTGCATTGTTGAGATTTAAATAAAATAGGTAATTAGCTTCCTACTTTGTGAGTAAAACGAGCAGTTTGTTTGGGAGGTCTAATTAGATGCCAGTAGTTAAATATAATCACATAGTAATCCTTTTTTCCCCCTCATCACCAAATCTTTATGTCTTGTATGTTCAGTAACTATGCAAACAATACTTCTGCCAGGCCTGTAGTGTGATTAGGAACAAACAAAAATGAGCATTTGCACTTGATTATACCTTGTTGTTAGATTTTGAAGAAAACCTGACAGAATTCTGACCTGACAACTACAGGACACTGACAATCATACCTGATCAATATATTATGATATATTGATCAACCAGCTCATCAGAAATTGAGTATAGCAAAATATTATGTCAAAATTAATGTACCATTATTTTAGAATACAGTTCAAATAGAAGTTCAACAAATGTGAAGGAAAACAAAAAATTATTATTTCTAGTATGTAGGGATATCTTATGAAATTGAGATTCTTTTTTTTTTTTTTTGAAAGTGGGATTTATTGAGAAGACAGAAAATCTTCCAGAGTGGGATGGGACCTACTTAGACCTTTTTAAATAATTAACTTACTGAATCATCGAAAGGAAAAATGAAAGTACAGTCCATGTAAATTGCTCATTTCTTCTCATATCTCATTAGCAACAAAAAAAAAGAAATTCATTCCTCTTAGAATTTCAAATTCAGCTATTATGTGACTTATGAACAAGGCACTTTCTCCGGATCTCAATTTAATCAACTAAAATAGAATTTCTAAGTCTCCAGTTATTCCCAATCAAACTTTATAATTCTCTCTTTGTAGTCCTAACATTAGTTTAGATTTTCAATAAAAATAACTAAATTTTTCTGAAAACCATTGGGATACAGAAAAGCCTTTCAGGTTTGTAGAACATTAATGGAGGGTTTGAACGTAAATACTTTTAGCCAAGAAAATGTGAATCTCAAATTTCTTTGACCTTCATAGAAAACCGTTTCTTTGAAAAATCATTTATCAAATGATTGTCTGTCTTTCCTTCTTCTACATTAACTTCAAATCCGTAAATTTATTTTCAGCAATCAATTTATGTTTAGTTAGTTCTCAGACATTCCAGTACTTGCCCTAAAAAGAGCTAATGACCTGAAAGGCTAAAACAATTCTATTTACATAACAGTCTGAATTATTTACTCTTTAATTACCAAGGCCTAGATTTGGTGACTTTATTTATTCTACTCTTGAGTAATAATGCTGCTTAGAGCATATTGTGATATTCAAGAGTGGGATTAGAAGAAATGGAGTCCACTGTTTTGGGAAAGGTGCAGTTAATCAGTTACTTGTTTACTTTAGCTTTTTCTTGTGTCAAATCCTAAGCACATTATTGATTTAACAGAATTTTAGTCATTGCAACACAGACATCGTTTGTGTCCAGCTATTGCAAATGCTATTCTTTAACATCTAATATTTCACCCAGCATTTAGAAAACATTATTTCATTAATGCAATACAAAACTGTAGAATGTTGAGTGTCATTAGGAAAGGGATTGCCCATAGCTGGAAACTGCCAGGAGAGGGGGACAGCACATAGCATCAATAAACGTACCTGATCCCAAACGAGGAGAAGTGGAGAAAAAAGGGAGGCCCAAACTTTACCTGTACGATGACCACTTGTATACCTAATCCTGAAGTGTACCCCAAATCTTTAAAATAAAAATTTTTAAGCCGGGCTCGTTGGCTCAGCCTGTAATCCCACGCCTTTGGGAGGCTGAGGTGAGTGGATTGCCTGAGCCCGCGGGTTCGAGACCCGCCTGGGCAACTTGTTGAGACCTCATCTCTACAATAAATCAAGAAATTAGCCAGGCATGGTAGCGCATGCCTGTAATTCCAGCTACTTGGAAGGCTGAGGTGGAAGGATCGCCGGAGCCCAGCAGGTCGAGGCTGCGGTGGCCAGAAGCGGCCACTACACTCCAGTCTGAGCGACAGAGGGAGACTCCAACTCAAAAAAAAATTTTTTTAAAGGAAGCTTTGTATCTCTTGATAAGATTAGGAGTACTAGAAAATGTAACTCTGGGCTGGGATCGGTGGCTCAGCCTGTAATCCCACGCTTTGGGAGACCGAGGTGAGTGAAGATCACTCCGAGGTGGAGATCTGCCTGGGCAACTTGGCGAGACCTCAACTCTACAATAAATAAGAAAAGAAAATATATCTCTGCCTTCAATATTTTAATTTCTAAAGTAAGAGAATGTGGCATGTACATGACTTGTACAACTCCTTTTTTAAAAACCTAATTTTCTGAAAACAACTTTTTGAAAATCAGTTAATAAATAAATGAAAGGATGCTAATTCTCTTTCAAGTTGACAAATAAATTGATTTACACATAATAGTAAGGGAGCATAGCTTTCAGAAATTTAGTGATTATATCACTCTACTAGTTCAAAATATAACTACTTTTATTTAAAGTGTATAACTTCTAGAGATCAACCATACTACATTGGGTTTATAGTTAAAAATAGTGTGTTGTGCATTTAAAAATGTATTGAGCAGATCTCTTATTACGTGTTCTTAGCACAATAAAAATAGCATCGAATAAATGAATTATAATGTAATTTGATTCTAGAAGTATGTACTTTGAATTAATTTCATATTTATATTTGTGTTTGGAAATACCAGAAGAATAGTTGATATAATTGGAAATATTTTTACATCTATCAGTATCAGAAATTATCTTGGAATGATTTTAGCCTAGGATAATTTAACATCCTTTTAAAGTGTCTTGGGTTTCAAAAGAGGTAAATTGTATACAAAAGCAAGTATGTACCTAAAAGCCCAATCTGGTTTTGTTTTTGGTTTTGCTTTTCAATAAATAGGAGCTCCGAGTTGCCACCCAGGAAAAGGAGGGCTCCTCTGGGAGATGCATGCTTACTCTCTTAGGCCTTTCATTCATCTTGGCAGGACTAATTGTTGGTGGAGCCTGCATTTACAAGTACTTCATGCCGAAGGTAATAATAATTATAATTCTTATACTTTGGATTTCCAATTGCTATAGATTTCATTGCAACTTAACTACTTCTGTAGTGGTCACTAGAAAAATGAAAGAATTAGATAAAGTTTTCAAATGACCTTAAAATTCATACAATTGTTTTTGTCTTCATGGTGACAACTAATCAGCAAGACTCAGCTTAGCATAGAGTATAATGAATTGATATGAATGTGAGAAACAATTCAAGTGTCATGAAGTATTAGAAGGTTTTATTTTTCTTTTTTTGTCTTTTAGAGCACTATCTATCGTGGAGAGATGTGCTTCTTTGATTCTGAGGATCCTACAAACTCCCTTCGTGGAGGAGAGCCTTACTTTCTGCCTGTGACTGAGGAGGCTGACATTCGTGAGGATGACAACATCGCAATCATTGATGTGCCTGTACCCAGCTTTTCTGATAGCGACCCTGCAGCAATTATTCATGACTTTGAAAAGGTGGGTTTCTAATAGATATTTCAGAATTTTTAGTAGTACTTTGGCAAGTATTAATCCATTCATAAATGTACATCTTTTTTAATTAAACCTTTTTCAGTTTTTTGCTATTGAATAGACATAGTTGATCTTGAAAGATGTAGCTGCTTGTTTTAATGGTAGCTGGAAAATCTACCATTGATTTTCCAGCAGCATTGATACCTTCTGTGCCTTATCTAAAATTTTTCTTTTCCCCAACAGGGAATGACTGCTTATCTGGACTTGCTGCTGGGAAACTGCTATCTGATGCCCCTCAATACTTCCATTGTTATGCCTCCAAAGAATCTGGTGGAGCTCTTTGGCAAACTGGCAGTAAGTGTTCCAGAGGTCAATTTAAAAAACAAACATTTCCTAATAATTTTGTTTCTTTTTCATTTTAAAAATTTTATTTATTTATATATTTTTAAATTTATTTTATTATAGATATGTGGGATACAAGTAAGGATTAACTACACAAATATCCTGCATGCAGATGAAGTTTGGGTCTCCAACTGGCCCTTACTTCTGGTTTGGGACAAGTTACCCTTTGTGTTATTACATGTCTCCGCCTTCTTCCCTCCCCTGGAAATGCCCAGTGATTGTCGATCTCTCTTTTGTGCTAATGTGATTAATATTCAGGTCACATTTATGAGTGAGAACATGTGGTATTCAGTTCTTTGTTTCTGTGATAGATCACTAAGTGTGATGGTCTTCAACTTCATCCAATTTGCTGCAAAGTCCATGATTTTGTTTTTCTTTATGACTGCATAATACTCCATCGTGTATATATAACACATTTACTTTATCTAGTCCACTTTTGATGGGCAGTATGGTTGGTTCCGTGTTTTTGATATTATGAATAGTGCAACTATAAATATTCAGGTACTGGTGTCTTTTGTAGAATGATTTGTGTTCCTCTGGGTATAATCCCAGGAGAAAGATTGCTGGATCATATGAAAAGTCAGTTTTTAGGGAGTGCAAACTTGTTCAATCTCTATGGAAAGCAGTGTGGTGATTCCTAAAAGCACTAAAAATTTTGCTTTCTTGTTTAAAAAAAGTAATGAGTGTTTCCAAAATATTTCATTTTATTGAAATCATTCTCAAATTTAAAAATACTATGAACCTAAATCTTCTCTAAAAAATAAAGACTAGTTTTTAAAGTGTGATCTGTTATAGGTAAGGATTAAAATAGTATCTTTAAGAATTTCTCATTTCTATCCTTTTTTTTTTCATTTTTAGAGTGGCAAATACCTGCCTCGCACTTATGTAGTTCGTGAAGACCTGGTTGCTGTGGAAGAAATCCGTGATGTTAGTAACCTTGGCATCTTTATTTACCAACTTTGCAACAACAGAAGGTCATTCCGCCTTCGTCGCAGAGACCTCTTGCTGGGTAGTTAACTTATTCCTGTAATCACTCTGTTATACAGTGGAGGGTGGAGGTGGAGTAGATGGGAAAGTGAAGAGCAGGTCTAGATATCTTTTCATTTACACAAAAAATTCAAAACCCATTTTCTTTTTGAATTTTTTTCACAGGTTTCAATAAACGTGCCATTGATAAATGTTGGAAGATTAGACACTTCCCCAATGAATTTATTGTTGAAACTAAGATCTGTCAAGAGTGAACACCAACAGATAAAGAGTATTCATGGTAATAAAAAGTCATAGATTTACAATGTGTCTTCAACATTAAAGCTTATGAAATACTCAAGATATTTACTCATGCATTTGCTCTATTGCTAATACTTAAAAAAAGAAAAAAACCTACTAATCATTGCAAGCTCTTGCCAATTTTTAGTAGAATTGGCATTGCTTGTTGTTTCAAACTGAAATTAAATAATTTTTGTTTTTCTTCTTTGAATGTATAGGGTTTAGATTTCTGAAAGCAGCATGAATGTTTCAGCTAATATCCTGACAATAAATTCCATCTTAAAAAAAAAAATAAGCTGTTCACTCCATCCTATGGTGGAGCAGGATTTAAATTTGAAATATCTAAAATTGTTTTTAAAGCTTTTGTGTAACGTATGTCAAACTTCTTAGCAATATTGTTTTGTTTTTCATTTAGTGCAACTTCCCTGAGTTTAGAAATTGCATCTTTGCATTTCTGTTAGGTGCTCTATAATGAACCTGACTTCTATGTGAACAATTTTTTATGAGAAAGTCATTTTTCACTCATGCAGTGATTCCTTCTCACTGACATCTGTATTGTGAAATCCACAAAACTGTATAGGTGTTGAATGCTCTAAGGAGTTTAGGTTGTATGAATTCTACAACCATATAATAAATTTTACTCTATTCTACCACAATTTGTTTTATTTCATTACTTGAAGTATACCTAATGTGAATAATTAATATTATTTATTTAGCTTTTGTGTACCTGCAACAGATTTATCCATCTCCCCAGACAGATCTGGAAGAATCACCTTCTAGCCCTATGTGCCTATAGGATGAATCCACTCCCCCATACCCCTGTGGCATGGCAATTGATCTTTTTCAAGAGCAGAATGTGGACTTGAACAGGGAAGAAGCTATAAAAAAGACACCAGAAGTCCTTCTCAGTGGAAAGGTTCTGGGCTACGAGCCACAGACAACAGATACGGGGACCCATCTCTCTACCTACTCTCCACAGAGTTCTAGCAGCAGAGGCTGGTACAGTTGAAAAATCTCCCACATGGTGGAGCAAGGAGCAGAAGTGAATGCCCCTCCTTCTTTCACTCAGTGACCTTTATTGAACTACAGAAAGGGCTCTAGAACAGAGGGTGAGTGACTAGCTTGAGAACAACAAAACCAAGAGGAATTCCAGAAGGGCAAGAAAGGGCTGTCACAAATGAGAAAAAAAATCAATGAAAAAAATATAGACAATCCTCAGAGTACTAAGGAGACAGTGTCCAAAAAGGCAGCTATTGGAACAATAACAATGGAAAGCTCCTCCAAATTACCTGCCTCAGATGATCGTCACAGAAATCAGAGATTGGGTGGCTAAAATGAACAGAAAACCAAGAGAAACTAGAAGTGAAACTCACTGAAGTCATACAGGAAATAAAAGAGTTGGCCAATTATAGAAAAATCCATTCTGAAATAAGGGAAATGAAGAACTTTATCCTGGAAATTAAAAACATAGTAAAAAGCATAGGAAATAGGATCAATCAGGCAGAGGAAAGAATCTCAGAGCTTAAAGACCAAAAGATGGAATTAACACACTCTGTGGGAAAAAAAAAAACAGCTCCAAAAGAAGGTGTTAAGCCTTAAGAGATTTGTGACTATGTCAAGAAGCCAAATCTACACCAGTTGGAATCCCTTAAGCAGAAAGGGAAACTGAGAACACCATGGTACAGTATTCCATGAATTCATCAAAGAAAACTTCTCACATCTCACTAAAGAGGTGATAATTCAGGCACAAGAGAGCCAAAGAACCCCTACAAAGTATCATATAAAAAGACCTTGTCAAGACACATAGTAATCTACCTCCACATAGTAAGCATGAAAGAAAAACTCCTAAAGGTAGCAAGAGAGAAAGGTCAGACTTCATACTAAGAAAGACCAATCCGAATTTTTCCAGATATGTCTTCAGAAACACTAAAAGACAGAAGGGACTGGAGTCCAATCTTTGACATTTTTTTGAGTTGGAGTCCTACTCTGTTGTTCAGGCTAGAGTGCAGTGGCACACTCACGGCCACCGCAGCCTCAACTTACCAGGCTCAGGCAATCCTTCTGCCTCAGCCTTCCAAGTGGCTGGAACCACAGGCATGCGTCACCATGCCCAGCTAATTTTTTTATTTACTGTAGAGACAACTCATCAAGTTGTCTGTAGAGACAAGTTTACTGTACAGACAACTCATCAAGTTGTCCAGGCTGGTCTCAAACCTGTGAGCTCAGACAGTCCTCTCATCTGGGCCTCCCAAAGTGATGGGATTATAGGCATGAGCCACCGTGCTCAGTCAACATTCTTAAAGACAAGCAATTCCAGCCAAGAATTTCCTACCCTGCCAAGCTAAACTTCATCAGCAATGAAGAATTAAAATCCTTCTCAGACATCCAATCCCTAAGAGAATACATTACCACCCAACTAGTCCTTCAGGAGATGCATAAGATGACACTGAACACACACACAAAAAGAAAAAAGAATGGTCATACCACTCACAAAAGTACAGACAAGCACTGAATTAACAAAGCATACAGAGCAGTCACAAAAATGAAAACACACACATATATAAATAACCCATCATGACCAGGTGGGCTTCATTCTTGGAATACAGGGCTGGTTCAACATTCACAAGACCATAAATGTAATTCAGCACATTAACAACCAAGAACCACATGATTATATCATTAGGCACAGAAAAAACATTTGACAAAATCCAGTATCCCTCTTGAGAAAAACCCTTGAGCACCTAGGCATAAAAGGAACATTCCTGAAAACAGTAAGAGCCATCTATGATAGACCTACAGTCAACTTTGCACAATGGACAGAAGCTGGAAATATTCTCCCTAAGAACATGAACAAGACAAGGACGCCCACTCTCACCCCTCCTGTTCAACATAATACTGGAAATTCTGATGCCAAAACAATCAGTCAAGATAAGAAAATCAAGGGTATTTGAATGAGAAAAGAGGAAGTTAAGCTATTTCTCTTTGTGGGCGATATGATTTTATACCTTGAAAACCCTAAGGAGTTTGATAAAAGCATCTTCACAATGATAAATGACGTTGGTAAAGTCTCAGGTTACAAAATCAACATGCAAAAGATGATTGCATTTCTATAACCAGCAACAAACAGATGAAGAACCAAATAAAAAACACAATTCTATTCACAGTAGCCATAAAAAAATTACCTTGGCAATCACTTGACCAGAGAAGTAAAAGACTTTTACAATGAGAACTACAAAATGCTGCTCAAAAAAAATCAAGAATGACACAAACAAGTGGAAAAAGTATCCCATGCTCATGGATTGGAAGAATCAATATTGTCAGTATGTTCATCCAACCTAAAGCAATCTATAGGTTCAATGAAATACTTATCACCATCAATTTTTCAGACCTGAAAATGACAATACAGGAATTCATATAAAAATAGAAAAGAGTACTACTAGCCAAAGCAACCCTCAGCAAAAGGAACAAAATGGGAGATACTATACTTCCAGACTTTAAACTTTATTAAAAGTAGCCAAAACAGTTTGGTATTGGTACAAGAATAGGCACTTAGATCAATGGAACAAGACTGAGATTCCAGAAGCAAAAATATGGGCTCTCAACCAACTCATCTTTGACAAAGCCACCAATAGCAATCACTGGGGGAAGGAAACTATATTTAGCAAATTGTGTGGAGAAAACTGTCTCACCACATGAAGAAGAATAAACTGGAACCCTACCTATCACCATATACAAAAATCAACTCAAAACAAACCAAAGACCTAAACATAAAACCTCAAACTATAAGAATTCTAGAATAAAATGTAGGAAACACCGTTATGCACATCAGAGTAGGCAACAAATTCTTGATCAGGACTCCAAAAGTGAATGCCATGAAAGCTAAGATAGATAAGTGAGACCTCATCAACTGGAAAGACTTTGCACAGCAAAAGAAACCTTCCACAGAATGGAAAAAAATTATGAGCAAATTATGCATCTGACAAAGGCCTAATACCCAGGAATTACAAGGAACTCAAATGAAGTGAGGGGGAACAAACAAAAGTGGGCCAAGGATATGAACAGACACTTCTCAAAAGAAGACATAGAGGCAGTCAACAGACACATAAAAAATGCTCAGTCTCATTAATCATCAGACAAATGCAATTCAAAACTACAATGAGATGCCGTGTAACTCCTGTAAAAATGGCTTATCATTGATAAGTAAAAAAGAGATGCTGTCACAGGTGTGGAGAAAAGAGAATGCTTTTACACTGTTAATGGGAGTACAAGCTAGTTCAGCCTCTGTGGAAAGTAATAAGATGATTCCTAAAAGAACTAAAAATGGACCTTCCATATGATACAGTAATAGTAATCCTGCTCCTGGAAATATACCCAAAGTAACATAAATCATTATACAAAAAAGACACCTGCACATGCATGTTTATTGCCTCACTCTGCACAGTAGCAAAAGCATGGAACCAACCCTACTGCCCATTAAAGAAAATGTGACACACACACACACACACACACACACACACACACACACACACACACACACACACACGGTGGAGTCATGAACAAATTGGACGGAGTTGGAGATCACTATTCACCATCCCAGTGAACTGTCACAGAAAAAAAGAGCTGACTATTGCAAGATGTTCTCACTCATAAGTGGGCCTTGAACTTTTTTTTTTAATTGTGGGGTACAATTCAGGGATAGATATACAAATATTCATTGTGCAGGTACCATTGTTATGAGGTGAGCTTCCCCTTCCTCGGGCAGTTTCACATTACTGCCAAGCTTCCCACCTCCCTGCCCCCCCCATGCTCCTGCAATTTTCCGCTACTGTCAATACTTTTCTTATAGTATTATGACATTTGTTCAAGGTCCACTTATGAATGAGAACATGTAACACTCAGTTCTTTGTTTCAGTAAAAGATCACTCAGTATTATAGATTCTAAGTCAATCCAGGTTGCTGCGAATTTCATGATTTTTTTCCCTCTTTATGACTGTGTAATATTCCATTGAGTATGTACCACATTTTTTAAATCCAGTTCTCTTTTGATGGGCAGCAGGATTGCTTCCATATTCTTGCTATTGTGAACACTGCTGTGATA